AAACAGCTAGGAAACGGCTCAGCTGTGGCTCTGACCTCTGCCAGATTTGAAACCCGAGGATGAAAGCCCGGTTCTCAGAAGCCCGCTCCCTCCTTAGCAGAACCGTCCAACACCAGGGCTCCGCCGCCTCCAGTCTCCTCTTCAGCTCTAGCGAACCACTGCCCTCCGTGAAGATCAGCATCCTCCCGGCCGTCCTGGATGCGCTGTGTGACCACGAGTCCATTACGCATATATTTGTCGTCGTCGTCATCATCATCATCTCGTTAGGTGTCCGTGGCTGTCCTGGAACTCGCTGTGTAGATCAGGCTGTCCTGGGACTCACAGAGATCCACCTGCCTCTGCCCCTTGGGTGATAGACTCCAAGGCAGACACAATTACCCCTCGGCTATTATTATTACTTTGGATTTATTGTTTATTTTTATTTATGCGTATGAGTGTTTGCCTCTCTGTGTGCATGTGGCTTCGTGCATGCAGTGCCCACGGAGGCGGCAAGGGGGGGCCTCGAACCCTGGAGTTAGAGATGGCCTGAGCTATCATCCAGGTCCTGTGTAAGAGCAGCCAGTGCTCTTAACCACCGAGCCACCTCTCCGGCCTTTTCGGGTGTTTTTCTGCATACTTTCCGCCTGTTTACTCACCTATTTATTTTGTACGTTTATTTATTGTGTATGAGTGAGTACAAGCACGTGCGTGTGTCACTTGTTTGAAGGTAAACATCTATGTTGGGTACATCTCTGAGCACATAGAGAACCTGACTAACACCATTAGGTATAAGAAGCATGGGTAACTGTAATCTGTAATTCTCAGAAACATAGTTTGCTCAGTGACTGAAGCTCCCCAAATATAATTTAAACAATCTTAAAACTGATGTGTAGTATAAGGACAATGACCTTAAATTTGTGACTATATACATATATATGTAAATCTCTAAAACAGGTAGAACAGAAATGTCTTGACCAGTGGTAGAACTGTACAGTGCAACATGAATAAAATATCCCAAATTGGGGGCTGGAGAGATGGCTCAATGGTTGAGAGCATTGGCTGCTCTTCAAGAGGACCTGGGTTCAATTCCCAGCACCCACACGACAGCTCACAACTGTCTGCAAGTCCAGTTCCAAGAGATCTGATACTTTCACACCAATGCACATAAAATAAAGTTAAATAAATCATTTAAAAATATCCCAAATTGTATCACTACACAAATATCTTAAGTGTATGTAGAAGCATACATACATAGGCAGAGAGTTGACTCTATGAATTCTAGAGTTTATATACTATCCTTCTGAGGTCTTTGATGGAGTTGAAGGCAGTTATGATTATGGTTTTCCTTAGTCATGATAAAAGATAAGTTACATATAACACTTTAGACTCACAAAGATAAGATAGATGACAGAATATTTTCTTTAAATTTTGCCAAATGTTAATAGACTAAATATTGTTAACTATAGTTCTTGCTTGATAGCTGTTTTGTTTTATATATATACATATACATATGTATATATATATATCTACTATGTTAAAGTTAAACCTTTTTTTTTTGTTGTTCTTTTTGAGACAGGGTTTCTCTGTATTGTTTTGGAGGCTGTCCTAGAACTCCTTTGGTATACCAGGCTGGCCCCGAACTCACAGAGATCCGCCTGCTTCGCCTCCTGAGTGCTGGGATTAAAGGTGTGCACCACCAACGCCCGGCAAAACCTTTCTTTTTATTTAGTCAGAAAGGAGTGAAAGACCTCGGCATCAAAGCGCCGGGCACTGAACCGAACCGTTTGCCCAAGAACCGGGGCCAGACCACTGGCTGCAAATGCAAGAGGTGATTTATTGAGTACACAGGCGCCTGCGGATGCTACTGCAACTCGGGTGCAGAGCATACCGGGCTTGTAGGGAGCACAATATTTATAGAGTTTTAATGGTTACATAAGTGACAGGCATTTCATTGGCTCATCTTGGGGGCAGGGGTAGTTCCCACGGACTAAGTTTCCTGGTATTACTTTATGAAAGACCCCGGCACGCTTCAGCAATTATTATCCGGGTCCCATGACTGCTCTGGTGACCACAGATCCTGTTTGACATCCTGCCAGCTGGGCGAGGCACCTGGTCTGGGTTTTTTCATTAGGCAACGGCCTGGCCTTGCTTTTCTTTTCCTAGGGGGTCCTGGGTAGGGGTCTTTCAAGAGGAGATGATGGGGAAAGTCCATCTGTGTATATGTTTCTCTTATCAGTTGATGAACAAAACACTAATTGGCCAGTAGCCAGGCAGAAAGCATAGGTGGGGTTACGAGACCAAGAGAAGGCTAGGGAGAGGGGGCAGAGAGAGGCCGCCAAGAGACGCCACTCTGCTGAAGGAGTGACCTGCTGGGTTACAGGGAAGCCACAGCCCCATGGCAATACATAGATTAATAGAAATGGGTTAATAATTAAGACAGAGCTGGCCAGCAAGAAGCCCTAGCCATAGGCCAACAGTTTATAAATTATTATAAGTCTCTGTGTGCTTATTTGGGGCTCGTTGGCTTGCAGGATCAGGCGGGACAGACCTCCATCTTTAGTCACTGTACCTGTGAAGATAAGAGGACAACTTTCACAAGCTGGTTCTTTCCTTCAGCCAGTGGATTCCGAGTCAATCAGACTCCCAGCTTGTCCCTAGGGGTCAGGAAGATGCTAGCCCAGACACCTCTGGATGAGCCAAGCCTTGTTTTATTACTGACTCATCTTCAGGATCCCACAAGTGACTGGCGAAGGGTCTTGTAACTTGGGTGTACTGCCCCAGATAAAGGCCATGTTTGCAGCTCTCTAAGTAACCCTTCTCTTCTACAAACAATGCATTAGAAAGATGCTATTATGAGACGCAATTTGTGTTTGCTTTCTGTTTAATTTTATTCATTCCCCTATGGTTGTTTTGGGGGCTGGGGAAAGCCATGCATGGCTTTGTATTGAGAAAATAAAAGTGGATTACTGCTTTTCCTTTTTTTAAATCTTAAATGTATGTGTATGCTGGGGCTGGAGAGATGGGTCCACAGTTAATGGCACTGGTTGCTCTTCTAGAAAATCCATTCCCAGCATCCACACAGCTGCCAAAATCTTACCTGTAAGTACAGTTCCAGAGATCTGACACCCTCTTCTGGGCACAGTGGGTTCTACATGCTCAAGGTGCACATACACACATTTAGGCAAAATACCCATACACAAAATAAACCTAAAATAATTTTAAAATTTTATGAATATATGTGTGTGGGTCTGCAAACTTGGATACAGGTGTCCTCAGAGGCAGGAGAGCCCAAGAGCTTAAAGAAAGAAAAAGGAACACTGTCTTAATTAGTTACCCGGTTTCTACTTACAAACATTAATTCTATCTATAAACCTAGGAAATTGAAGCAACCACTTTCTAGGCTTGTTTGATTAATGTTCTGCCAAATCCAATTTCAACAACTTCATGGCCCGCTTAGAATGGAAGTTAATTAAATTCTCTAAATATTCTGCTTTTACAAATTTAAACCGTTCGATTTTCTTCAGCAGCTCAATAGACGGACGGCCAGCCCCAACACTTAGCGCTTGTAATAGAGTAAACACAGTGTGATCTTTAACATTCCGGTACCGCAGACTCGCATGGAAGCCCTCCTTCATGCCCCGTAGTCCAGTGAAAAATTTCAGGTCTAAAGCAACGAATTATTCAATGACACAATTTATGCTGGACGCATTTGTCACACTTTCTAAATGCTGGATTCTTTCAACATTAAAAGGCAATTAGATGGGGGCTGGAGAGATGGCGCAGCAGTTAAGAGCACTGACTGCTCTTCCAAAGGTCTCTGGTTCAGTTCCCAGCACCCACACCAGGTGGCTCACAACTGCCTGTACCCAGCTCCAGGAGATGCCCTCTTTTGGCCCCCAAGGGCACCCACATGCATGCGGTCTAAACACACACACACACACATGCACGCACACATGCATGCAAGCATGTACACATTTACATACAATTAAAAGTGATGCAAGCCAGGCGTTGGTGGCACACTCCTTTAATCCCAGCACTTAGGAGGCAGAGGCAGGCGGATTTCTGAGTTCGAGGCCAGCCTGGTCTATAGAGTGAGTTCCAGGACAGGCCTCAAAGCTACACAGGGAAACCCTGTCTTGAAAAACAAACAATAAAAGCAAATAATTATTTATAAATTAATAAATCTCTCTGGTAAGGTGGTGGCACATGCCTTTAATCCCAGCACTCTGGAGGCAGTGGTTCAAAACCAACAAAAAAAATTCTCCCACCCAGAAAGAAATTTTAGTGGCAGCAGAGATGGTTCAGTGGTTAAAACGGAGTGTTGTCCTTACAGAGGACTTGGATTCAGTTCCTAGCACTTGGGAGGTGGAGGTAGCAGGATCAGAACTTCAAGGTCATGCTTGGCCAGACAGAGGTTTGAGGTCAGTCTAGGCTACACAAGATCTTGCCTCAAAAACTAAACCAAGACCTGAAGCAAGCTAGACATGTGTTGTCTGTAATACTACAGTTTGGGAAACACGGAATGGAGGATGGTCATGAGTTCCAGGCAAGCCACAACATAGCAAGGCCCTGTGTGATAAAAAGATCAAAATGCCGGCTGCCAAGATGGCTCCGTGTGGGTGAAGGTGTTTGCCGCCAAGCCAGACAGTCCGAGTTGGACCCCTGGAGTCTCCACAGTGGGAAGAACTGATTCCTTCAAGCTGTCTTCTGGTCTCTACATGCTTGCTGTGGCAAATATGCACCTCTGTACCTCCGCCAAACACAGAAAATGTGTGTGCCACTCATGCATGTACACACACACACACACACACACACACACACACACACACACACACACACACACGGCTGGCTGTGGTGGTACATGTAGCAGAGGCAGGGAGAGGCGGCTGAGGCCAGGCTGATGCACACAGTGCGTTCCAGGTTAGCCAGGGCTACATAGTGAGATCCTGTCACAAAACAGCAATGACAATAAACAAAGCACAAAAATGACCAAGACAATCACAGAAAAAGATATGAACCAGTTTAGGCAAAATAATCAATTTATTACAGTGCAATTGGCAGACAGATATTGCCGGTATACTATTATTCTCTCACTGTTTGAGAAAATGATAAATAACTTTAAATATTACACAATTATAGAGGTCCCTGAGGATCAGGGCCGGGGCTCGAGGCACTTCCTCATTGTTTGGAGACTATCTGTGGGCAGATAATACCCTTCAATGAGGAGCCCTGGGTGTAACGGTGTGAGTGTGGGTTCACATGGGAGTTGGAATTTTGCTAGCGGTAAGTTCACACGAGTGGAGGGACAAAGGGAGTCCCTGAGGCAGAACCGAGGTGACAAGAAGGCAGTCCTGGGGATGCAGCTTAGCTGGTGAGCATGCCTGGCTTGCACCAAGCCCTGGGCTCCTCCCCAGCATCGCACAGACCTGGGTGTCGGTGGCGCATGCCTGTGATCCTAGCACTTGAGAGGCAAAGGCAGGAAGCGACAGTTATCCTTAGTTTTCAGCCAGCTGGGATACTCGAGAGCCTGTCTCAAAAAAGGGTGGGGCCAATGCTGAGGAAAGGGCGTGAGAGACTAAATGAAACAGGCAGCTTATGACCTCCCTGTGATGAGCATGCACTTGGGCACCTGGACAGCCCCCCACCCTCGCTCTACCCAAGGAGCAGAAACGGGCAGATCTGATGGAGGCCTCCTGAACGAGGCCAAGCAGGACCCTCCACCGGATCCTAGAGTTACACGTGCCAGGAAGGTCTGAGCGCTTGATTTGTGAAGGATTCCAGTCAGCAGCCCCAGCCCCTGGAAGGCACAGTCAGGCTATCCCGACAAAAGGTGGTGGCGTTTGACTAGGACTGACAGATTTGCACGATCACGCTGGAGTTGGTCACTCTGGCCCCATAATGGCCAGCCCAGAACTGGGTGTCCTGGCCCCAGTGTTCAAAAGACACGAAACGGACGCCCCTCCTGATGCTGGAGAACACATGGGTGACCTGGAGGTAGAAGGAGACAGTCCGTGTCACAGCCTTCCTGGCAGGCAGAGCTCACCCAGACGGCAGCCACGACACTCTGCCTAGTCCCCGTCTTCTTCTGAAATCTTGCCGTGTTGTCACTAACGGGTGGAATCTAAGGCCAGGTGTGGTGACAAGCCTCTGTCATCACGGGGTTGGGTGACTCAGGCAGGAGGATGGAAAGTTAGAGGACAGCCCAGGCTGTGGGGTCCAGGACAGTTGGGACTATCACACACACACACAAAAGGATAAAAACAAACATAAAAACTCCAATCAAATAAAAGAGGTTTTATCAGCAAGAATGTGGCAGAAATTCTGGGTGTGGCTGTGCATACATCTGCAATTATTCCCAGCATTTGGGAGATGGAAGAAGCTCAAGGTTAGCCTCAGCTATTTAGTGAGCTTGAGACCAGCCTGGGCTAAATGAGACCAGAAGTGAGCCTGAGTAGTCTTATGGAGAGACTTCCCAAGCTAGGTGAGAGCAGGCCGAACACCGGAAGCTTATACGTCTCCTGGCACTCTCACCGCTACGGAAGAATCTGCCCGCCCTGGGGCGGCCACCATGTGATTGATTTCAGTGTAGATTGGCCCAGAGACCTCATGGAGGAGATCTGAAACAAACCAACAGTGATTCTTCACCTCGTGGTCAGCCCAGGGCCTGCAGACTGCCAGTTGTCATGGTCACCCGCCACTACCTTCAGCTGGTGCCGCTGTCTGGGAGCTATTGATGGAGCAGGAGAGATTGCAGCCACTGCCCAGCCCATCGTCCCCACGTTCTGCCTCAGGAGGCGCCACAGGGCAGGTGAGGGAAGTGGCCGAGTTGACAGAGGGCCTGGCATACAAGTGTGAGGTTCAGTTCCCCAGCGCCCAAATACAAGCTGGCCATGATGGCACATTTCTAACTCATGGTCGTGGTCGTCACTCTGGCCAATCAATGAGCTCCTCGTTCAGTGAGAGATACTGTCTCAAAAACCAAGGTGGAGGGTGAGAGAAAACATGTGACACCCATCACTCCGCCTTCCATGTAAACACGGACAGGCACAGCCCCCCCCATGCACACGCTCGGGGGCACACACACACACACACACACACACACACACACACACACACACCACGCACACACACGCACAGTCTTCGGTCTGAGGCCCACCTGCAGGTAGATATTGTTGTTCCACTGCTCAATGGGGTCTGGCACAGCTGAGAACTTATCGAGGACGTTCTGGTGAGCATCAAGAAGCTTGACAAGGAGACGGTACTTACAGCCACTGTCGTGCCGAGCTCCCCACCTGCGGGAAGGGGAGGTCTGAATGTGTCACCTGCCTTTGTGGGTGTCTGGCCTCCCTGTGGGGACTAATTGAGTTGCTCAAAGGGGCCTTTTGGGGCTGGCAAGACGGCTAAGTCGGTAAAGTGCTTGCCACACGAGGATGAGGACCTGGATTTGAACCCCAGGTCTCATGTAAGAGCTGGGTGTTAAACCAGGCGTTAATGGTATACACCCTCAATCTCAGCACTTGGGAGGCAGAGGCAGGTGGATCTCCAAGTTCAAGGCCAGCCTGGTCTGCAGAGCAAATTCTAGGACAGCCAGGGTTACACAGAGAAACTCTGTCTCGAATCCCCTCCCCACAAAAAGCTAGGTTTTGACGGATGTGCAGGCGCACGCCTTTAAACTCCCTGGAGGCAGAGGCAAGCGGATCTCTGTGAGTTTGAGGCCAGACTGGCCTACAGAGAGTTCCATGTCAGTCAGGGACACACAGTCTCAGAAGAAAATAAAGCGGAAAAGCCAGGTGCTGGGGAATAATCCTGTTGTTCACTGTAATATTGAAAGACCCTGGCCCAGTTTAAACAGGCAGCTGAGGCTTATGGAGAATTCCGTTCCCCCACAGCTGCATAGTCATTGCCTATCAGAAGGGAGCTCAGTCCCAAGGACACAGGCTGCCGGGTATCTGCAGGTGGCCGGACGGCCAGCTCAGCAGGATTGAGCAAACACAGAGACTAATTGTTCCTCAGATAGGGCCAAAGCCAAGACTTGAGTTCCAAGAAAAACCTCAATTGCCCAATCAGGGTCCTGTTACTAGGCTTCTCGCTTCTGTACTGCGCTTTTTGCTATAAAAGAACCCCTGAGTCCCCAGCTCGGCGCGCTCAGTTCCCCGAGACTGAGACGCCCGGGTACCCGTATGTCACCAATAAAGCCTCTTGCTGTTGCATCCAAGTTCGTGGTCTCGCTGTTCCTTGGGTACGGGTCTCACTTCCGTGAAAGTATCCCTATTGGGGTCTTTCAATATGTATTACTCTCATTGGTTAATGAAGAACTGACTGGCCCATGGCTAGGCAGGATTGTGGGGACAGAGAGAACACTGGGGAGAGGAAGGGCGGAGTCTCAGGTGTCCTCGCCAGATGCAGAGGAAGCAGGATGTGTAGAAAATGAGGTAACAAGCCACGAGCCACGTGGTAGAACTTAGATCAGAAATATGGGTTAATTTAGGTTGTAAGAGCTAGTTAGTAACAAGCCTAAGCTATTGACTGAGCATTTACAATTAGTATTAAGTTTCTGTGTGGTTATTTGGGAGCTGGCTGGCAGTCCTGATTTAAAAAAAAACAAAATTCCACCTATAGTCAGGGAGAGTGATGCATGCTTACAACCCCATCACTGGGAGGACAAAGACAAGTGAACTCTTCCTGAGGGAGACAGCAGGCTGACCTCTCCCCTCCGTCCACCTCAGGCACACACTGAACCGTTGTCCACCACAGGCACACACTGAACCACCACAGGCACACACACTGAACCCTCGTCCACCACAGGACACACACTGAACCACCACAGGCACACACACTGAACCCTCGTCCACCACAGGACACACACTGAACCACCACAGGCACACACACTTAACCCTCCACCTCAGACACACACACTGAACCACCTCAGACACACACACTGAACCCTCCACCTCAGACACACACACTGAACCCTCGTCCACCACAGGCACACACTGAACCCTCGTCCACCACAGGACACACACTGAACCCTTGTCCACCACAGGACACACACTGAACCACCACAGGCACACACACTGAACCCTCGTCCACCACAGGCACACACACTGAACCCTCGTCCACCACAGGACACACACTGAACCACCACAGGCACACACACTGAACCCTCCACCTCAGACACACACACTGAACCCTCGTCCACCACAGGCACACACTGAACCCTCCACCAGGCACACACACTGAACCACCACAGGCACACACACTGAACCCTGCACCTCAGGCACACACACTGAACCGGCCCCATCCCCAGATCTTATGAGATGGGCCTGCTAGCTCAGGCAAGTAACTCCAGTTGTTACAGAGGCTGGCATGGGAATGTCTCAAGGACAAGGCCAGCCTGGGCAACTTGGTGAGATTCTACCTCAAAATAAAACTAAAGAGAGGGCTGGGCGGTGGTAGCGCACACCTTTAATCCCAGCACTCGGGAGGCAGAGGCAGGTAGATCTCTGTGAGTTCGAGGCCGGATTGGACCGATAGCCTCCAAAACAATACAGAGAAACCCTGTCTCGTAAAAACCAAAAAATAAAAAGAATAAAATAAAAATAAAACTAAAGAGAGACCTGGCACGTGTGGCTTAGCCTTGGAGGCTTTTCCTGGCATGCATGAGACCCTGGGTTTGAGCCCACTTCTGTTCCTGTCTCTGCCCCAACGCAATGATCTTGGGAAGATGATCTCCGGGCCTTTGGGGAGCCATGTCTGCCAGGACACTGCCTTTGTTGGAGCCGCCAGTCATACCAAATAGACTGAGAACAGGGCTGGCCACGCCCACAGAGAGGCTCAGACGGGAGCTGGGCACTTCAGAAAGATCCTTAATGCAACTGAGGGCTGCGAGTTAACGCCAGTTCACCTGGAGGCTGTGGCTAACCACCTGGGCAAGCAGCCAATCGGTCAGGCATTCCACGGAGCCCCAATAAAAACCTTCCAGGGAGCTGGTACTGTTCCAGACATCCTGGTACACACTACTATCAGGCTGGTAACACTTGACTCGGGAGGGAGGCATGTGATCAAGGTTCCAAAAATGTGCCCACACTTCCGCACTTACAAAGTCCTAGCTGTGTTTCACGTGAGCTCATTTTATTTCAGTTTCTTTGTTTTAGGATAAGATACAGCCAACGCAGGTCTTAAGCTCACCTATGCCATCCTGGGATTCACCACGATCATTTTGCCACAGGCTCCCAACTGCTGGGATTACAGGAGTGTGCCTCGGCCCCAGTGTTCAGCCAGTGACCGTTCCTGGCCACACACTCACCAGTCAGAGACTGCGATCTCCACGCCACCGCTGTCCAGCAGCTCTGGCCACAGACCCTTCTCCTCCAGGTCCACGACCTGCTTCTTGCGACACCAGCTACAAGGTGGGAGAGGCGTGGTGAGAACAGGCAGGCCGTCCTCGGCAGGGGCTCTGGCCGTTGGGGGCGGGGCTCTCACCTGAAGGAAGTCACGAAGCAGGTCTGCGAGGGGGCGCCAGGCACGGCTTTCATGTTCTTCTCCACCACCCAGCCATCCCCACCATGCTGCACCATCCACTTGCGCAGGCCTTCTGCGAAGTAAAGACAAGGCTCACGTGGGGGTACGCGCAGCACCAGGGAAACTGAGGCATTAGGATTTCTGTCAAAGTCAAGTGCCCCCCCACATTAGTCACAGTCTGAAAAAGCATCAAGAATTCATGTAAAAAATAAAAGGAGAGAACCCACCGTACAAAGTTGGCCTATGACCACCCCCCACCCGGGCCATGACCCTAGAGTCCTTTTGCAAACACAATACGTTAGAAGTGTGTATCTGTGCACTGTGTATGCTGGAGGCCAAACAGAGGCTACAAGAGAAGGTGGAACTCCCCGGGACTGGAGTTACAGATGGCTGTGAGCCTCCATGTGAGTGTTAGGAACGGAATTCAGATCCTTCCTAATCTGCAAATAATAATAATTTTAAAAAAGCTACTAAAAAAATTGAAAAGCTAGGAGCTGCCCTTCCAGGACCTGAGTTCAGTGCCCAGCTCCGGAGCCAGGAGACACGCAGTCTCCTGGGACTGCAATTCCAGGGGGGCTGTCCTTTTGACCTCCAACAAGCACACATACACATTATTAAAAATATATTTTAAGCCGGGCGGTGGTGGCACATGCCTTTAATCCCAGCACTGGGGAGGCAGGCGGATCTCTGTGAGTTCGAGGCCAGCCTGGTCTACAAAGCTACCCAGAGAAACCATATATATATTTAAAAGCTACTCAAACACAAAATGCTTATGCACCAAGTTTAATTGCTCATGGGTGGCTCTCAGAGCACCCTGTCTCTCAGGTAGAACGAATGGAGTTCGATCCCCTCCCAAGCTCCCTGGTGGTTGGTCAGGTCCTTCCAGTCACTCTAACTGGGTCAAGCAGGATCCCACTTGTAGCCCCTCCCTCCGCTTCATCTGCAGGCTTCTCAATCGACTTGTCCCTTGGGCCCCGCCTATTACACAGCTCGTGACTTTCGCCCAGTCCCTTCTCACTGGTGCCCTTGTGGCGCCTGACCTCAGCACCTTCTACAGGTTTTCTGGGGGCCCTTCCCCGCCGCATGCTCGCCCAGCTCCATTGCGATCCCGCCCCCATCCCTTCCCATTGGCTCCCTCATGACCACGCCTCAACCCTATGCGTCAATAATTATCCCGTGACCCCGCCTCTCATTCCTCTCATAGGTTCTTTTTCTCGTGGCCCCGCCCACCCTCATCGATTACCCTGCGACCCCGCCCTTCACCCCTCCGGCCCCGTCTCTCGCGGCCCCGCCCATCGCCTCGCTTGCGGCCCCGCCCTTCCCCTTGCGCAACGGTCCTCCCGCGGCCCCGCGCTCGCCGCGCTCCCGGGACGCAGCCTCACCTTGGCCGCAGGGGTTGCTGATGAGGTTGCGTCCTATCGGTCTCCGCGCACAGAACTGGCCCAGCGGGCAGGGCACGCCCTCGCGGGCCGGGGGCAGGCAGCGGCGGGCCAGCGTCAGCAAGGCGCGGCCCGCGGCGCTGCCGTCCCGGGCCAGCACCAGCAGCCACAGGGCCTGGCCGTCCACCGCGGCGCGCCAGGCGCGGCACACCCGGCGGCAGTGCGACAGCAGCGAGCGCGGGGGCACGTGGCTCAGCACCAGCAGCAGCAGCTCCGGGGGCAGGCGGCTCAGGTCCAGCGTCTCCTGCGGGCCGAGCTCCGGCTTGGGGACCCGGGCCCTGGAGGTCCAGGCCCCCATGGTCCCCGCGCCCCGTCTGGTTGGGACTGCGGGAGGGGAGGGGTCGGATGTCGCTGACCGGAAGCCTCCGCGACGCGCAGCCTCCGTTGCCTGCTTTGCAAACGCGCACCCCAAGACTGTTGGCCCCAGAGCCGCCTCCCACGTCCCTCGCCGCCGCGCTGTCCCCAAGCCTCACCCCTTCCCCTTCCCCCGCGCGGCCGCCACCCCACCCGAACCCGCTGGCGCTCACCAGCACCCCTGCCAGCTCCCCCTCCGCAGGGCTCTAACCCTGCCTGACGCCCGAGCTGTCAGGTGAGACCTCTGAGACTCGTCGGTCGGCCTCTCCTTTCCTAACGTCCCAACCCTTTGGTCCCAGACCCCACCTCCTTCCGGCTGAGGACACGGTGAGAATCCACCCGAGGACACAGTCGAGGCCAGGCTCTGGGACAGTCCTAGCGATTCAGCAACAATCCGACACTTGGAAGACCCTAAATCCGCAGCAGACGCCCGGCATCCGCAACCACTATTGCTTTGGCTGGGCATCCGGGCGGAAGGCTCCACCCCTGAACGCCTTGAACCAGTCGCCTTTAATGCCAGACACAGTCACCCGTGATTTACAGGAAAGGACAGGCTCTAGAGCACAGGAATATCCCCCTGACCGAAAGTCAGCTAAAGTTCGCGGTTTCACTTTGCCAAGTTAGGACATCTCCGCCCCCGCATCACAGGATAGAAACCTGAGGCCCGGTGACCTCACCAAGGGGCTGAACAACTAGTGGATGCAGGTAGGTCTAGATCCAGACTTTTTATTTTCCCTTGAGACAGGGTCTCCCTTTGCAGGCCTGGGACTCACCGCATAGGCAAACTCACAGAGTCCTGCTGCTTCGGGAGTGCGGGCACTAACGGCACGCACCGCTATGCCCAGCTTTTTAAAAATTGCTTTTCAATTTTTACTGTATGGGCGTTTTGCCTGCATTTATGTCTCGACACTGAAGTTTTACCTCTGGAGTACTGATTACAGGCAAGTGTCACCCTCCCTGTTTACAGAATCATTCATTTTAACCAGTGTATCAGCTCTGTCCAATGCAAATGAATGCATCGTAGGCTATTATACGTTAACAAATAAAACTGGAGCAGGGTTCTTGTGCACACTGACCTTGTTTCATAGAGGGAGACGCGTGACCAGCAAAATAAGTAGACACAATAAGCATCTTCTGTGTGTGTGTGTGTGTGTGTGTGCACGCGCTTGTGTGTGCGCGCGTGTTTTCATCAAGGCAACACTGTTAGGTCCAAAGTGGCAGTGCTGTCCCAAAATGCTGATAGCAATGGCTAAACAGGATTTGTATTGGGTACACAGGTGTCTAACGGTGGGTTTCCGTTTACCAGGAGACCCCTTTAACCATCCCAAACAGCCAGTGTCACCTCAAAAACCCCGCCCTGCTGTGTGACATCATTTTGCTCCTTCTTCCCACCCTGGATTGGGGTAGTCTTGGCAATCTGAACTCCAGTAAACCTTTCTTTCCATCCATGGGGTGGTCTAGTCTGCCGGCTTCACTGTGCCCCACCCCCACCCCTCCCACCCCCCTCCCCCGCTTACAACCACGAGCTGGCGGAGGCCAGAGGACGGCTGGTGCGAGCCGATTCTTTCCATCCATGGTTGTGTGGGACCTGGGTTTGTGCTCAGGCCACTAGGCGTGGCGGCAGGCCGCCTTACCCACCAGTGCACACGCCGGCGGGAAACGCTTTCCCAGTGAGACGCATTTGAGCGTTTAGAAGGTCAGTGCACAGACCAGTTTGAAGAGCTAACCTCCTGCTAGGCTCTTTTTTTCTCTCCTTTCCCACTGGGTTGTTTTGAGACAAAGGCCAGGCATAGACTTTTCTTTTTTTCAAAGATTTATTTATTATATATACAATGTTCGTCCCGAAGGGGGGCGCCAGATTGACCTGTAGATGCTTGTGAGCCACCATGTGGTTGCTGGGAATTGAACTCAGGACCTCTGAAAGAGCAGTCAGTGCACTTAACCTCTGAGCCACCTCTCCAGCCCCCGGCATAGACTTTTCTGTCCATAACAATTCAGTACTTGTAATGCCACGTACAAGGGAAGGTGACGTCATTACTCAGTGTGGCGGTGTACTTCCGAAATCTCAGCACTTTGGAGGCCGAAGCGGGAGGATCAGAACCAGCCCACAGCCCACAACCCCAGGGAGCCTAGGCAACAAAGAGGACCGAGATACATGGATCTGCCCAGGAAGGGGGTGAAAGACAAGATCTCCTGAGTAAACTGGGAGTGTGGGGGGAGGGGGAGGGTGGAATGGGAGAGGGGAGGAGAGGGAGGGGAGTGAGGAAAATGTGTAGCTCAATAAAAGCAAGTAAAAAAAAGTTCAAGTTCATCCACTGCTACACATATGAATTCAAGGCCAGCTCAGGCTCCATGAAACCCCATCTTAAAAGATTAGGAGGATGGGGCTGGCTAGGTGACTGAGAACGTGTACAGAGGACTGCAGTTCAGCTACCGCTAGGGGCAGAGAACTACCTGTGAGGATCTGACGCCCTCTTCTGGCCTCTTCTGGCACTGCACCCACGTGCACCTGTACACATAATGGAAAACAAACTAAATCTTTTTTTTTTTTTTTTTTTTTTTTTTTTTTACGAGACAGGGTTTCTCTGTATTGTTTTGGAGGCTATCGGTCCAGCCCGGCCTCGAACTCACAGAGATCCGCCTGCCTCTGCCTCCCAAGTGCTGGGGTTAAAGGCGTGCGCCACCACCGCCCAGCGAAAATATTAAATTTTTTATATAAAATAAAACAAAGCGTAAACACTCATCAGTTCCCCCTTTTAATTCCCCAGTTCTCTTCCCAGAAACAATCCTTGTCAGTCCCTGGAATTATACCCTTGGCTATATTCTGGGAAAAAAGAAATATCCATACAGACTTCAGAATATAATGAGTCGAGCCTGGTATGGTGGCTTACACCTGTAATCTCAGAAATTCAGAGGATGAGGCAGGAGAATTTCAAAACAGAGAGTGGAAAACAGCAGCAGCAGCCTAGGGCCATTTGGGGACCTTGGGGACTTGGTGGGAGAGTGTAGTTTGGGAAGTCCCACGTACACAAAAGGTCCTGGCTAAGCATCCCACCCCGTTTCTCTCACTCCCACAAGAGACGCCATCCTGACACATCTGGCAGACTTTTATTTCTAATTCTAGGGCCCAGGAGCACCTCAGTCGACAACCAGGAGGGTGTTCCAAGGGGCTGAGCAGAGGGATTGAGGAAACTGGAGAACAGAACAGGTCTGCGTAGGTCATTTCCAGGGAAGCCATTGTTTTAGCTCTTGTTTCTTTTCATCTTTTTAAAGACACGGTTGGAGACCAAGTTGACCTGAAGCTCTCTTTGCACTCCAGATGGCTGAACGGTTGTTCCTCAACAGACTTAAGGAAGGTGGCTTGCAACTTGGTGTCATAGAACCTTAGCCTGAGTGACCCCCGTTTGGTTTGTGCATAGAGTCTACTACAGAGCTCAGAGAGCAGCGTGTGTGTGTGTGTGTGTGTGTGTGTGTGTGTGTGTGCCCAAGTCACAAGGATCCCCAAAGAGACCAGGGAGACAGACCACTGATGCAAATAAATACACAAGGTTTATTGATTATTCTATCCTTCCGCTCGGGAGGGACCCCGTCTAGCAAGCTGACCCAGCAGCCTGCAGAGGGAGTGAAGTTCCCTGTCTACTGCTAGGTTCTAAAGATGAAAGTTACAGGATTACATCAGTAGGTACTTGTTGGTTTCTGATTGGTTGACATTTGGGGAACAATCAAGAGATTTTTCAAAGTCATGCTTTTGACTTGTAATACCTGTGTACCCATTTTTCTCATAGGTTGGTACTGGGAGGGAACATTCTGTGGTTTCTATGGCTTGCAGGTGGTCTACTGTACTAATATTTTTCAGAACTGAATTTCCTGGAGATTACAGGGGAGTTTCTTTTGTGATCAAACAGTCCCCAGTTCTGTTCTCCAGTTTCCTCAGTCCCCAGGGTGAGTTATTAAAACAAGAGGACAACCAGGGCCCTGTCATCGTGGACATGAACGTGGTGAGCCAGGGTGAGTTTTATTAAAACAAGATTCAAACCGTGTTTGTTGAGCTTTGTGTCTTTTCTTCCGTCTTTCTAGCCCTTCTCTGATTTTAGCCATGTTGTCTTTTACACGACCCGAATGGTCTCTGTAAAAGCAGATTTCCTCCCTTAGGGCTGCACAGAATCCACTCTGTTGGAGGAAGAGTAAATCTAAACCCTACGGTTTTATAAGGCTACCTCAGCCAGGGAGGAAAGGGAGTCTTCTAGGTGAGTGATGGAATCTTCTGTTCTTTTAAGGTCATTGTCTAGACTTGTTCTTAAAGTAGAATAAATGTTCTTTCTGCTGTATGAGAGCCGTGGTTCCTGTGCCTACACCTGTAGCTATGGCCGAGCCTACTAAGAGGCTGAGGGTGATTGTAGTTACGGGCTCTCTTTTAGCTTTGTGGTTTTCTATGAGGTCTGACAGCTGCTTCTCCGTATGATAGACGAGTCTGGGGAGCAAACGGATTAGCATGCAGAAGCCCTTAATCTCTTTGATTATCTTTGTGTGTGCGCAGGGATCAGGACCTGTGGAGCATATCCACCAAGTATCATTGTGGGGAATCAAGTATCCCTCCGAGTTAATGGTGGGGTGTGTTTGGTTACCGAGGTGAGAATGAGTAGGTAGGATGGAACCTATACAGGTTTCTAGTCCAGACACTGGCTGTAAAGTTAAAGGGGCTTTGAGTACCAGCGGCATTGGTCAGACTTTTTCTCAAATGAATAGCTTCCTGGGACTGCTACCCCCTCATAGTATGGAGCTATATCATAGCAGAGCCAGCAGGGTTTAGTAACACCGGGGTTAGTACCGTTGAGAAGTAGATTGTTGGAGTACTGTTTCTAAAGTTTCTCCAGTGGAGAGTGCGCTGGCTGGAACTAACGGAGCCAGATCTGGGCTTGTCTATTAAGACCTGATTTGGGCCAATGGGTTCAGCCTGGTTGTTTGGCTGTTGGATTCTGAGTCGTAACCCAAATAGGGCTCCATCATCTGGGCGGCTGAATATCCTGCCTTTGGTAGATAGCCTTAATCCCCAGGGGCGACCTGCCTCCCACCCATCGGTGTTGGTTTACCCCCTGGGGTGTAGTGTAACACCAAGGGGTTGCACTTAGTTACGCGGCATCCGTACAAGGTGGCTCTGCTACTAGAGCAAGAGGGGAGGGTTGAGCCTCCACTGACCTGGATAAGGTCGTCTGCCAGGGCAGGGGTCCACCAGGTGTGCCCGGTGGACACACAAGACCAGCTTTTGCAATGGTAGTAAGGGGCCCCTCCACAGGCCCCCACGTTTGAGAGGTGCCCCAGGCAAACGCAGAAATGGGCCGTAGATTCCTGAGGCGTATAGAAATGGCTCCAGCTGAATAACTCTGGGCTGTTTTCTACACGACCAGGGCAACAGTGGTCTTTGAGCAGCTGGCAGAGGTCAAAAGAGATACTGGGTACCAAGTTCCGGGTGGGGTTATCATAGAGGTCTGGTTGAGAGTCTTTTCCGTTGAGACATCGTAGAGTTGCCAGGTCAGGTTCCGTGGGGTGAGGATTGGAGTCGCTGTGAGCAGGATCAGGCATGTCATGAGA